ACCAATTCATACAAGATTTAGGCAATGTAGAAAACAGTATTATACAAAATTTAATAAATGAAAGAAATTAATAAACTTTTTGTGCTGGTTTAGCTGGAGACAATTTTTCTTTACCATTGTATGGTTCACTTAAAATTTCATAATACCACGGAATTTTATCCAGATTCAATGTTATTACTAACTTCAGGGCTCAAAGTGTTTGTTTTCTGTGTAGATGAATCATTGTTGTGCGTCGTGATGAGAAGTCCCTCAATAATGACACATCTACACGGAAAACAAACACTTTGAGCCTGAAGATGATCTCAATAATGATCGAAACGTTGGCGCGATAAAGAAAATATTTGTCTAAACCTACGTCACACCAGCCTGCAACTCACGATCTCTAAATAATCATTTATTAATGGACACTAAATACTACACTTTATTACTACCGTTAGAACGCCTCATTTGTCTTCTTTCAATGTATGAAATAAAACTGGTAGAGCAGCGGCGTATTTAACCGAAGGTCGTGAGCTCGAATCCCGCTCGTGACACTGACTTTTTATCTCAAGCAATACCTCATGTAAAGATAATTAATCGAAAGATGTTATTTGGTCAATCGAACCTCGAAATCTAATGAATTTAGTATGAAATAAATCAATGAGTAGGTGAATGTACTTAATCCCAACACTTAACAACTGTTGTTTGTTTATTTTTTCATTTTATGGAATCAAAAAAAAATCATTCTTATCTGGGAATAAGTCAAATCGAGCCGAATGTCGTGGGTTCGAATCCGGCCTGTGTCAAAATTTTTGATTTCGAAAAAATTGTGTATAATTAATTGAGTATTTATATAATTAAGTAGAAACTGAAAAAAATAATTAAAAATTTAGTATTAATCAAATCGATTGGTTATTTTTGTTAGTTGGAATTTAAAAATGCCTCTTCGTACTAGTTCTTCGTTTTTCTTTCCATATTCATTATGACCTACAAATCCCGTTTGTACATGACTTCATCAAAATCCTCTTTAAATATTTCTTGAATCACCCCTCGTCCAGAATAATCTTCTAGTACGACAGTTATCACTTCCAACCCAACCTGAAAATCCTCCAAATCTTCGTAGAAGATTGAAGCGAAAGTGGCCTCAAGACCTTCTGATTGAGGGAAGATTAATGAGTTATCAGTGTGAATGAGTGTTACCACTGGGCAACTTCTCCTACAAGAGACACAGATGACAAATTCAGTGTTCATAAGCATATATAATTAATGCAATATTTGTAGTTGTAGATATCAAATAAACTTACTAAAAAACGTATATATAAACTTTCGTTCTAAAAAAAGCATCGATATCATTTCTGTGATTTTCGCAAGGAGGCATTTGAAAGGAAAAGATTTTTTATCATTATAAGTGAGGAAAGTGATAATCAACTAACAAAAACTCATTAAATATTTAATTTTTATTGCAGGTTCTAATTTATGTACGGAAGTGCATCGGTATTTCACAAATTAAGAATTTATAAAGCTAAATATTAAAAAAAATTGTTTTGCAAAAACCAAAGTAGATATTCGTGAAATTAAAAAAAAATTGGATACTAATTTTTAAGTTTATGCAGATACTAAGTTTTATATAAATTATTAATTTGTGGTAAACAGGATATCAGATAAAAAATTTCCCCTTATGTAATACAGTACAAACTGTATACTTTTATTGCTAACTCTTTTATTGCTCTTATGTTTCAAACAAATGGTTTTTAACGATGAAAATAGATTATCGACCTGCTGGATACAAGAAGTTCTTTTCAGAGGATCTTCGGAAGAGGTGATTTTTGTCTACTACAGAAGAAACATTTTAGCTTTTATAAGCTTTCAACTGTCTAATATCGTTGAATGGAACCCTGCTTATTATTTTCTTGTCTAGATAAATAAACAAATCGTTAGTCTACCACCGAAAGTCTAAAGGCCATGAAAACGTAGAAGCAGTTCACCTGCTAGATGTTCAACGCATAAAATTTGAAAATAAAGATTAAATTTAAAAAAGTCTATATTTTGTACAATGGGATAACCTGTACGTATTTTAGAACATAAACAGCAAAACGTAATAATTTGAAACAAACAAACCTTAACGTTTTTCAATATTGTTCATTTAAAAATTTTGTATTTAAATAATTTTTAATGCATTTTGGTTGGATAATTACCAGTTTTCTAATCCTATATTTAAAAATTATCATAAATATAAATGTTTGTCTGAACGGACTACATGCTCGTGATATAAGTGTTTAGTCATAACAAGTGAAAAAAAGGTATTTAGCTTAAATTATAAACACATTATCTATCTATCAATAAATATATGCTTTTTCAGAATAAGAATTATAAATAAATCTTTTTCTAAAATAAATCCTCAAACCAATTGATTAAAAATGTTCTGGAGTAAGAAAATAGTTATATTACTTAATGAGTTGTACGACTTCGAGTCAAATATAATTAAATCCATTGCATGGTTTTTAGTTTCCCAATAATGTCATCAACATTAATGCTCAGTTATGGTACCAAATTTTATACTTTTGTTCCGCAACCATTTTTCATGAGTTAATTCCACTTAAGAAATATTTAAATAAAAAGTTACAATTTAATTGCGAGCGTTCTTTGAAGTATTCAATTAAGTAAATAGAGTTTGAAGAGCTATCGTGAAATACTCTCTTTGATATATGATATCAAGTGCCTTATTTTGTGTGCAATGAGCCGTATGAAAGTAATGATGGAAACGTTAAAGTAACGAATGTAAATCACGTCTTCTTCAGTAAGCCTTCGAGTGGCCAGAAGTGAAACATGGAAAATTGGTAATTGAGTTTTATTATTCCCCGTGGAAAGGAAGTTGTGAAAAAAACCCTGAATTTCGCCATTTTTCCCGAATGAAATCATAATTCGTGTATAAAATTATGAAGGAAAAAATATTATAAATGTGTTTTAATTATTACTACAACTATATATATTGTATTATATGGTATTTGTCGTCACGCTGGGTTTGAGAAGTTTGACAACTTTGATATAGCAGTCCGAAACTCTGTTCAGAACTTTTCCAACAGGCTGGAAGGGAACATACAACTTTTACGTGGCTCAATAATAAATAAATGAAGTATATATTTTTTGCCTTTTGTTTTGAACCGATACAAATATAAATTTTAGATAATAGATAAATAATAAGTTATGCTCATGACATGGAAATGTCAAGTTGGCCAAAGTAGTTTGACAATTCTATCATTTTTATAAGCAATAATCCTGGTCAGATGTCGCTTCCTATGACCGTACTGAATTTTTCATTGAAATTTATGTCCTTATACATATTGAAATGAACTATGAAATAAAAATAGTAAGGGAAATAGATTTGGAATCTTTTTTATGAATTCACAAATGAAATTAACTCTTAACGTTTTGCAAAGCCAGAGTACACCACAATATTAAACATTTTATTACTGGCTTCTGGGGTTTTCTCTATGTACTAACATTTTACGATTTGCTACAATCCCTTTCACTTCACTTAATTGAATGAGCTGTGAGCAGTGGCAGTTTTGTGGGCGAAATTTTTAATCGTTTTTATAACTAAAATATTTGTTTACTTGTTGTGAGCCCATTGGACGGTACCCTTGAACACCTGACTAATATTTTTGATGTAGTATCACTAAAAGTGTTTAATCGAAAACGGTAACTTCACGACAACGAATATGTAAATAAACAACACATTATTAATATTAATGAAATCTTTATGCAAGGTATTAGTTGACATAAAAAGGCAGTGTCACGAGCGGGATTTGAACACACGCCTTCGGCTGAATACACCGCTGCTCTACCAGTTGAGCTATCGTGAATTCGATCCACTCGGACATCGACTTCCCATCTCAACCTACCTTTCGAATTTCCCTCCTTTTTGCCATTTTTCAAATGTGATGTAATCAGGAGTGGATGGAAGTCACGATGGCTCAAGAGCAGTGGCCGAAGGTCGTGGGTTCGAATCCCGCTTTTTCTAGCTTTTTTATTTCTACCAATACTTTACATAAAGATCAATTAATTGAAAGAAGTTATTTGGTTAACCGGACCACAAAATATAATGGATTTAATAAGTAAACGAAGTATATATACACTAAAGAACTCCGTGGCAATATCATTTGTCGTCGAGAATCGAATCCTGATTACACGACATTTGAAAATGAAAAAGAGAGAAAATTTGAACGGTTGTAGGTTGAGATGGAGAGTTCGTGTCCGATAGGATCGAAGTCCCGATGGCTCAAGTAGTAGAGCAGCGGCGTATTTAGCCGAAGGTCGTGGGTTCGAATCCCGCTCATGACACAGACTTTTTTATCCCAACCAACACCTTACAAAAAATTAATTAATTGAAAAAAGTTATTTGGTCAATCGGACCACGAAATGTAATGGAGTGAATGAAATCGCATAAATTTCATTTTTCTAATTGTTGTTTTTCTACATTTTCTATTTTATTTTCTTCTTGAAATTGAAACACATAATAAGATACTAATACAGCATGAGGTATTGAATTTTTAAACATTTTCCTGATGATGTTTCAGTCTCGACATTACTAAAATATTAAAGTTTAATGAACAAATACTAACATTCCTGCGGATTCGTAAACATTTGTAGTTTAATCTGTGTATAAATAGCGTGGTGTAAGAAAGATAGGACCTAGCAAAAGAAGAAAGATTCCAGTTGATAGAAGTGAAGTACTTTTTACCATATCTCATCTCGCACTACCATTTAGATAAATTATCTTAAACCTTATATACCAGCCAACTCTAATGGGGTAAACAAATAACAATGGGTTGTTTATCCTTGCCCCTTTTTTCAACATGTCCGACCCACCTAAATTCTCGTGCGTTTTGCGGATAACACTAGATTTCTCCATTTCAGATTAATTACCATTTAATAAAAATTGTAATTAGTTAATAAATTACATACACCTAATTGAAGGTAAATATTTTGAAACACTAGGATCAGGGGCAAAATGTGATTACCTGTTGATTCTGAAGTGTTGTATAAACAGTCGTCGGATCATCGGTCGTCACCGCTGTTGTTCCCACCGCCTAAAATAAACAAAAAAATTATAAATAAAATAATATTACAGAAACATAACAAAACTTTTTGGGCGTAGTACCATGTCGCGATTATGATTAGCGTACCATTTTATGATATACCTGTTTGCTGAGCATTATTAATGTTTATTTCCCCGAAAAGACAGACTCACGGTAATTTCATTAAGTCTTATTAATTTGCCTTGTATTCAAAATAGGTTTAATTGTTATATGCTACAGGAAGAAGTTTTAGATTATATTTGTGTGCGGGAAATATATAAGAGATAAAGAAAAGAAGTAGAGAGTAAGAAAAAATTTAGGAAATATTTGTTGTTTTTGTTTTTAAACTTTATTACGCATATTATAGAAAATGCATTTTATTTGTGTAACAATATAAGGTTTACATCGTGTCGCCCTATTTTCCTTTATGTACAACGGTAAAACTTCTTTCTCACCAGATGAAACGACCAGATAGAAAAATAAAAAAGAAAGAAGCAGGTGAGCTGACCGATTTCTTGTTGAAAAGATATTATTGGTCAAAGATGGCATCCTTAAGGAGAAAGAAATAGATCCGGTAGAGAATTTCGTGACCCAGGACCGCGAATTTCACCGGTCGGAACAATGTTTTTCTACATGCTCATGGAAAAACACCCGTTATAATATAATAAATGTGAAACCACACAAACGGACTCTGCTCGATGATTTCTGACTCGAATAAATTTTATAATGTTTCTTAAAAAAAACTTTGCCAAGTTGTTTAAAAGGAGCGTAAATAGTTTTGGAATGTGTTTTGGGGTAGGCGGAATATAAATAATCGAATAAAAGAAAATAGAAAATTGGCGGAAAAATCTTTAGGTGGTATTTTCAGGGGAAAAAGTTCGCTCAGGTCTTTCAGTTTTAATCTAAAGTATGTGTAACAACAGTTAAGAGATAGCTGAGATGCTTGTCCCCCTGGGTGGCATTCACGTTAAACGACAAAACTTTAAGAACTCGCATAACTGTGATCTGGTTTCAAAGCTTAAAGTAGCACAAAATGTAAGTTCGTTTCCGTTAGAAATGCCAGATGATTTTTTAACAACTTGCAAGCGATAAATTCCCTCACATAAAATGGTAAAAATATTGACACGTTAGCTGTTGCTAACGCGGCAAAATTTGTTACATGAACCAGACAAGAATTCATCGTTGAAGATTGTAGTGCACAGATACATATTTAAACAATCAACAATTCAGAGAACTTGGATAATTAAAGTAAATGGTTTATAACCACAATATATTATTCATTGAAAATATGAAGATTATTTTTCATTTAGGACTAAGTAAACTAAAGTAGTAAAAAGTAAAAAAATTGGTTCGATTTAAAAAAATAAAAACGTAGTTCCTGACTAACATTAAAGAAAATGTCTTTCTCGATAAAAAGTGTAAAATTACAAAAGCAAGTACAAATTATCAATAAATTATTAGGCTAAAAAATTAGTGTGACGACTAAAACCAAATTGGCAGTCTTTTAGGAAATATTATAAAATTTATTTTTCTTTTCTTTTATTAGAAAATTTTTCAACCCTACCATACTTTGCATAATAATTAAATTAATTATAGTTATTGTTTAATTGAGCCAACTAAAAACATACAATAGATGAATTATCAATCAAATTTAGCAATAAGGGATTGATTTTATTACGTAAATACGGACGTATAAATAATCGTTTGTATCTTTCGAATATTTTTATTTATATTATAGTTTGTTAACTTACGTCTTTGTGTCTGAAAAAAAAAGAAACTAGCTTAATTAATAATGCATAATTATCCGTATGGATATGGAACGTGATTATACTATTATAACGAGATAATATTATTATTTATTCTATGTCTGCTTTCATGCAACCTATTAGCCTTAATAAATAACAACCAATTCTGGTTATGAGGTTACAATTCAGGCAACAATCGTCAAAGGAATGAATAATTTAATTATTTAATATCGACCCATTCTATGTAAAAAGTTTAGCAATGCTGTCCAACTCCGTCTTAGTTCACAAATCCGTTTTTGCGTATATATTTTACATTTAAATTAGTCTTGTAAACAACACAGAAATTTAAAAGAAAATAATTAAGTATAATTTAAAAAAAAACTTGAAGACGTCATCAGCGATATCCAAGGGGTAGTGGGTTGTAAAATCCTCCTTTATGACAGAAGCCACTTTGCTTTTACCTTTTTTTTACTATCACAATTATATTTAACATTTGTACTAATATAATTAGATAAATGTCAAATGAGGTAATGAAGTCAATTACAAAAAATTGTTATTAAATTGTACTGTATTTTTAATATTATTACTATATATTACAATGATGTTAGTATAACTATGTGCAATTTTAATTGAGAATAATGTAGAATATTAAGGTAAAATATAATGTTAAGTTGTTTGACCAAACAGGAATGTTAAGCTTTTGTTTATGTCAGCATAATATAATCTATAATATCTTTTCACTATTATAAAGATATATTGTACTAATATGACTTTATGGAAATTTAATTAAGGTAATTGGCGAATAATTTGAACAAATATTCTAATATTGTTTGGACCCATTTTCTGCGACACCCGACTTAGATCTAAGGCCATATGTACAACCGGAATTATTATTATTACTTTTTACTTTCTTTTTAACTCCTATGACTACATATGACATATGAACTCTCGGCAATGAGCTGGCTAAGGTCCAGCAGCTCTCGAATCCATCAACCGGTTTTTATCATTCTCATATCTCCGCTTCCTCTTAAGATGAGCTTTTGAAATTTGAAACATAAATTAAGCTTAGGACGCTTAGGATATTGTAAAAATTTCAGCGCTGAATATTGAGCCTTTTCAAAATGAAAGTATTTCAGCATGTGCGTTTTTTTTTTACAGACCGAATCATTGATTACCAGAATTATAAGGTACTTCCCTAATAGCCGGACTTTTTTTGGAGGGACTTTTTTCTTTTGAGTTCTCTCAGGTTATGGACTAAAAAACGAACGGACTTGGCCACAGTGTATCATTATACGATAGAGCCATTTTCTGGAGGGGGTCTAGAACTTGGCGCTTTTTGATAGATTTTTGTTGTGATTTATACTACTACAATTGCGTGGAATTTTAATTTAGATTAATTAGAAAAACTATTAAAAACTTTTTAAATAAAATTATTGAAACTTCATTTCACGCACACCGAAAGGGTATTTGGGCGATAAGCTCTTCTGTATGGCAGGAATAATACTTTTTATATTTTACTACTACATATAACTATAAATATTTCTACTAATATAACTACTTGAACTTTTGATTGAAAATAATTAGAAAAAGCTGCTCTAAACTGTTTAACTTTTCGTCCGAGGCACTCTTCTATATAACCGGAATTATTTTCTTTTTTCTTAAATTTTACTGTTATAACTATATATTACAATTAAGTTGGAAACATTCCGAAACAAAAAAATGTTTACTAACTATACCATCACATTACCTAAACCTCTGAACAAGGTACTAAAAAATCAATGCTATATTGCGGTGCAGCTGTCATGTCGTTCCACCACACGCTTTCCCTAAAGAGGCAAGAAATTATTATTTAATTACGTCTGTTACCAACGAATGACATTTTTTTATGGATGAGCAGACATACGAGTTTTGACTAAAAAAATCCGAGTGTCAACCGCGTGTGCCCAATTTCTGAATATTATGAGGATTACATTCCCTGTCATTACAGCTTCAAAATACCAAAATATATATGTACGGTTTTCAAAGCTTTTACTCTTTTGATTTTTCCAATATTTAATTAATCGAATTTGTTTATCAACGAGGTGTAATCGGTTTTTAAAATGTCACTGTCAATGTAATCCAATTAATACAAATATATCAAAAATGTTAACAAAGACTTGATCAGCTTTGAAACAGGGACGGAATTACAGTATTTACAATTTAAAGAGGACGTTATAAAATATTTCTAATGAACACTGAGCGATTGGAAAGTAAATGAGTGGATTTCCGGAGATTAGTCTGAAGGGGTTGGTGTTAGAAACGTAATCTTAATTGAAAGCGTAAGCCAGTTTACAAGCTCTAAAAGCGAACTCATTTTTACAGGATTGCTCTTTAATCTCATTTAGTTTTTTTTCTCTCTCTCTTCCCACCCTGTTATATCTACAGGTTGTCACACTTCACAGCTTCTGAGCCGGTTATCACTTCCCGACAGAGGATCTCTTTTTAATCTTGACGCATCTATTATCCCATTCGGTATCTCAGTTGCTTTCACGGAATGGAGAACTTCCCGTGCTCTTTTGTCACGTCGCAGCCCAATAGACTAAGAAGAGCGCCGATGACAGTATACAGATTGCTGTGAAATTACCTTTTTTGCTCTCCTTATCTTCCCCCCTCTGTACCAGCTAAATGAATACGAAATGGGCCCACTTTCCAACGTGAGAATTTAAAAAATCGAAATCTTTCCCTGGAAGATTACGTTAATCTTGTTAACGTGTTTTTAATTTGTATTTAACAAGCTCATAATTATAAAAATAGGACTGTCATTGTGGAAGTCCGTCTGAGTCGACAACTTATTTGAAAAATGCTCGACGGTCCAAAACGATTGTAACGATGATAAAGTTCTTTTGAAACAGACTCATAAATTTTTTCAAACAAAAATTGAACATAATTGAACAGCATCGTACAATTTCTCGTATAAATGAGCAGAAATGTGTGCGGGCGTACGGGTAGGTTTAAGATGAATCGTTTATAACAGTGAGCCGCTTTTAACGTATTGGATTGAAATAAAAATGAGATATTGACGGCGTACCAATTTTTATTTTAACATAGAACACATTGAATGGTACATGATACTTTACTTCGACCAATAACTGACAACGATTCTGCGAACATTGTACTGTGATATGAAAATAAAAAATATAAGTTATAAATATCACCACTATTGTGTCTGGTGAACATAAGATCAATAGTGCCCAGTGTACTATAGGCACGTAGCTGAGACCAACTTTTCACGAAGTCAACGAGGTCGCTGTTGTGTCCTGGTTGTTTGAAATCTTCAAAAAAAAAAATGACCGGCAGGATGCCTGGTAGGTTTAAGGAATAATTTTTGTCAAGCTCGTTGAATGTAGTTCTTTT